ATTTTTGTGATTTGAACTGTTCACTTTTTAAGACTCGTTGAGTAAAATATTCATGCAAAAAATTTAGATGATCGGATATCGGTAACTATATATTTGAATCAAATTTGTATTACAAAAAATGAATAATTATTTTTAAAATTATATTTATTGTTCATTTTTTTAAAATGTGCAATCATCTTAATTTTTTATATGAATATTATACTCAATAAATCTTAAAAAGTGAACGATTTGGATCACTTGAGAGAAACCAAACCTTTTTTTAAAATATAAGTCATATTAGTGGACCTTTATTTTTAAAATAATAGAAAACAAGGCCACCAAGTCATTTTAGATAAAAAAAAAAAAAATTATGTATATATATATTTTATTATTTATATAACATTATTCTTTTACAATAATGCTACACTTATTATATTTTTATACTACATCATGCTTATTATCTTGTTAATATGGCAAATTCTAACAAATGCTCCATTTGTATCGTTTAATGTTCGGAAGTATGTATGAGGTGTCTTGAAAATATGTAAAACTATTAAAAAAGATTGCTGCTATTAGCATCTCATCAATAATTTTGGAGCCTCTATGTCTTTGGACCTCCACTTATAAATTCTAAAATCCTTAAAATTATTTTTCTCCCCCCAAATAATACCAAAATTATCATTGTAAAAGCATTTCACTCATTCAATTGAATGCACACCCCCACACCCAAAAAGTCTTTCTCCCAAAAACCCTAACAAAACCCATGAAAGTGATTACTCCTTCATCTCCGCATACTTGTTCATGACTTGAGAAAATAAACGTAGCATTTTTTTGTTATTGATTCAAAATTCTCCTTTTGTGGATTATGCAATCTTCACGAGTTTGGATTTGTAATCTCTCATGTGGGTTTCTTTGAATTCTCTGACAGTTTCAATTCTTATTCCTTATTTTACCTGGGTTTTGTAATTTTAAAGTTTGAAAAAGTTCATTAATAATGTTCGATTATCTGTTCCTAACAAATAAGAAATGTTTGGTTATCTATTCTTAAACAAAAAAATAATGTTCGGGCTTATGTTCTCAAATATCGGTCATATGTTTAGGAGTTTAGTCTCGAAAAAATGACCAACAATTTTTATTATTTTTGTCATTTTTTTTCAATGAACTTACCCTTACAATGTCAATTTCCTCTAAGATAAGAACACCATCAAAGCTATAAACCTCCTCTGAGGTTTTATTGTTGTACTCCTCTCATTTCATGGAGTTGTGGTTGCCAAAAAAACTTCCACTTATTGTCATTGCCGGAGAAGTGTAGATAATCAAATGGTTGCAACAATTACTATCGGAATATTACCGCCCAAGGGTTTTTAAGGTTTTGAGGGTGGGTAAAATTTGGACAAGATGGATGGGTGGTGATGGAGGTAGGTGCTCTCATAAACCCTAACTCATGATGTAATGGGTGTGTGAGCTTAATTGTGAGATGAAATATCCCAAAATTATTGATATCCTTTTTAGTAATTTTATTTAAGGTTATTATTGTAATAAAATAAAATAAAAATCCTAAAAAATGGGGTATAAAATAATTGACGGAGTGTTAATAGCAGCACTTTTTTTTTTTATAATAAAAACATGTATTAATTTCAATAAAAATACATTAAATGATAAGTGTAATATTAGTGTAATAAGTCTCACCACTAATATATATCTCTAATGCATTGTTGATAATTAGGGTGATGCATCAAATGTAATATAGTAAAAATAGATGAATATTATAACCTTATCCATTAAGCCTATTAACAACTACTCTAAATACACATTAACAAAACTCAAATTTAAAAAATTTTAAAAATAAAAAAATTAATAGCAAATTACACGAACCTCCATTGAAAATTGTTCAAATTACACCCAACCCCATTGGTGTGGAAAATGTCTCGAACCCGCTTGAAAATTTAATTGTGTTACACTTACAACTACCCTATTAATCAACTGTTAGATTCATGAATCATGGATAAAATTTCCTGATGTCATCCAATTTTAAATAAAAAAACAATTTTATCCTTTTAGCTTTGTTAACAATTTTTTTAAAAATTAATCTACTCAAACCCCTATTCCTCTTATCTCCCTATTTTAATTTTAAAAAAAATTTAAATAAAATTAATCTACTCAATCTCAAGTTGTCGCCACTAACAAACCTTATTTCTCCCCAGTAGCCCAACAACTATGAATATTGGCCCGACACCAACGCTACCCCTTTTCAATTTCACCCAAACGGCCCTGCCACAACATCACCCAACGACACCCCACCACTGCGCCGTGACTCTGTGTCTACTCCCTCATTTGTTTTACATCTCACTTTTCTCCTCTATTTTCTTTATAGTCCAATATCCACTCGTCCAGTTGTGAAACCCTAACTAGTCCATCACTTCCACCGCTACCAGCCACTCCTTACTCTTTCCTCCCTCATTTTCTATTTATCTTTGTTGCATTCTACCTCATAATTGTTTCTTCGGATTTTTGATTTTCTATCGATTTTGTTAAATTGAGTTTTGATTCTATTCAGATAAGGTTTATGAGATGATTAGGGTTTTGCTTTGAATTTTTTTATTTTTAATTTTTTTTTATAGGTTTTTTATTTTGATGATGTGGTAGTCTTGGCTATAAGGGTTTTTTAGGCAGGTAGATAGTGGAAGGTGGTGTTGGGTGAATAGCTAGCGAATAGGTGAAAGTATAGAGTAATGTTAGAGATACCAAATTTTCTACTAAACAAATGACCAAATGTCTCACATGGGTGTGGGGTCCGCAATTTTGTGAGCCCCACACCCATGTGAGACATTTGGTCATTTGTTTGGTAGAAAATTTGGTGTCTCTAGCATTACTCGAAAGTATAAGAAAAAATATAGAAGAGAAAAAGTGGGTTTGAACAATTGAAAGGGCAAAGTAGTAAAATCATATAAAATATAAAAGAGTAAATACGCCATTTTGGGAAATTTTATTTCCACATATCCTTTTATTTTTGTGCACATCATATCTCAGTTCACGCACTTAATGAATATAAAAAAAAAAAATGTTTTACAATGTGCATAATCCTTTATACCAGAAATACCCTCTTCTTCATCCTTCCATCACTAACCCTAATCTCTAATCCTAACTAGTCACTGTTGCCATCTCCACCATAGCCTCCGCCATAGTCTGTCCCAAAAATATGACACACTGTTTCCAAATTTTATATTGCCTATACAACTAGAGAGTTCATACTTATATTGCTCCCCAATTGACATAATTTATTTTGAAAGATCAAACCACTGCATGCAGTTGAAAAGAAAAACTGCAAACGTGACATACCTGACTCCATCTCTCTGGATAAGCTTTTTAAATGGCTTCTAACCATTGACTGCACTTGTTCCTTTTCTACATTAAAGTAGCTCACCTCTCCGTCTATATTGGGACATGCTATCATTAGCAATGCTTGATCTGCCATACAGATGGAATTGTTGCTTGTAACTCAATCTTGAATTCACACCCCCTATTGAGGTGATCAAGGAAGGAGGCTAGCGGTGGTGCGACGACTGGTTATGGTTAGAAATTTTTGGGTCAGTTGGAAATTAGGGTTTTGGATGTAGAAGATAAAATGATATTTTGGTATTTTTATTTTAGAATAAAAATGTAATTAATTTTTTTTTTCATTAAGCGTGTGGAGTAAAAGAAATTTGTGTGTAGAAATAAAATTTCCCTGTCATTTTGTCAAATTCATTAAAAGAGAGAACATTTTAGGCCCACTAGGGAGGTTCGAGTCATTTTTTCATATTAACGAGGTTGAGTGTAATATGAGTAATTTTTTGAGAAAGTTGGTGTAATTTGTCCAAATATTAATGTCGTATAATTATGGTGACTTTCTCTGAGATTTGAAAAAAATAAATTTAATAAGTATCACAATCTTGATATTATTACATTGACTTATTTTTTAGTAAAGTTAAATGGATCGAAACTAATAAAAATATTGCGAAAACATAAAATATACGTTATCATGTAAAAAAAAATAACATCTCATCATGTATGGTTTTAGTTTTTGAATTATTTTTCCAAAAAGTAATTTAAAAACTCTATTTTGAAAAAGGATCCTTGTTTGGTTTTTTAAAAAATTTATTATTGCAAATTCAAATTTCCCTCCAATTTAAGTAGAGGGACAATTTTAAAAAAATATATTATCACATCATAAAATATTACCATGTTAATTTTCAAAAAACTTTATCTCGTTTTCAAAATAACCAAACAAGAACTCCAAATTTTTATAAAAAATGAGTTTAGAAAACAGAACCAAACAATGATAATTTTTTTTTTCATATAATTAACAAATTATTAATAAAAATGTGGTTAAATGTTATATAAATTAAAATTATGAGGTAACTCAATATAATTATATCAACATTATAAAAGTTACCGTGTAATTTACTGTATAATTATTATTACAATAATGATTCATCCCACTAACAATATCACCACTAATAGCACTAATGCATTAAAAAAGTAAAAAAAAAAAAATACAACTCTAAAACCAAAACATCACATCATTAATGATAAAATCTACTGCCACCTAATTAGTGAGAGCACTAATTAGTGGGAGCACTAAATGCTTGAGAGCACTAATTAGTGCTCCCAAGCATTTTTCTTATTATTAATGTTATTTGCCAACACCAAGGATCCTCTAGAGTGTTTTTTTCCTAAAGTTTCCTAAAGTGGTGTATTGTGTAGTTGAGATTTAATACTGAAAAATTGATGTGACTTGTCATTAAATCTCAACCACACACTGCACCACTCTAGGAAACTTTAGGAAAAAAAAACTCTAGAGGATCCTTGCTCATTTGCCAAAGCAGGCGTTAAATTCCAAAAGTCTGTTAGTATTAAGGAGGCAACAAATTGAGGTTTGAGTAAACGACAATCTCGAGGGCTGTTATATGATCCAACCGTTGAAGCGACAAAAGTCTGAGTCAATACACCAAACTCAGATTAAGTTGCATTAATGTCGGAGCTTCAAACAGTTGGCAATGGATGGCTAGTGTTTGTTTGGTGGCCAGTATTTACTACTGTACCCACCAAACCTCCTCCCCTTACAAATTCCCAACCCCAAACACCAAACTATTACTACAACCATCCTCTCTCCACTCTTCTCTCACTTTCCATTTCCATACCAATCCATCCAAACATCATACATACACTTGCTCATCCACAGAGATGGTGGGACCACAGAGGCCTCAGTTTGTTCTCTTTGGATCCTCCATTGTTCAGCTCAGTTTCAGCAATGATGGTTGGGGTTCCATTCTCGCTGACATCTACGCTCGTAAAGTAATCTCTCTCTCTTTCTCTGTGTCTGTTTTGTTCGATTTCTTTCTTTGAAAATGATGAAATTTGAAATGTAGATCTAAGAGTTTTGATACATCCCATCACCCCCCGATTACACTTCTAATGAGGTGGCAAACAATTTTGAAAGGAGAGAGAAGAGTTTGAAGAAAGTTGACTGGTTGGTAATGGGCCATTTCTCGTGGTTAAATTCGTGTTCTTTGTGAATTCAACCTTCTGTTTTAATGCCTTCTGGTAATTTCGTTTCTGGGTTAAATTTATAGAATAAGTTTCTCAGGATACGCCCAAACAAACTATGTTCAACTTCAATATCTTCCAGTTTTCTCATCGTTTGTATTGTATAGTTTCCATGATTCTTAAGCTATTTGCAATTTTTCTTACTTATTCCAAAATTCAATTAAGGAACAACAACCTAACATTCTTACTATTATACAATCTTGAGTATAACTCAACCCCCAGAGCTAGTTATTGAGGTGAGTGTACCCTCACGCTTTTATAGTTTACATTACTTTAGTACCGAATTGCTTCAAACCCTCCTTCATGCCCAGCGTACTGGCAACACCTGCAGCTTGCAGACTAGGGACACACCCCCTACACATCCCTGGTACTCTGGGTAGAACTTACCCCCAAAAGGAAGCTATTGATGTGAGGATGTCCTTATGCTTTTATACTTCACATTTACTTGCTTAACATGCATTGTTTTGCTTACTAACTTAGTTTTGGGCCATCTCATCCCCTAAGAATTCTTGTTAATTTCCAGACTAACTCCTGATATCCAAATGACTCCGATTAATATTATTTAATTTTTTATTTTTGATGAAACTGTTTTGGGTTACTTATTGAGTTGAATAATAGTTGCATTTTTTTCCAGTTATCTACACCAGTGTACTTTTATATGTTTGTGCAAATAATTGTTGCCAAGTACAGGTTTCTCTAATTAGTCTGGTTTATGGAGATAAGTAAAAATAGGTTAATTTCAGATTTTATCAAAATGACTATATATTTGCTATCAAGTCTTAGTTTCTACCAAGCCGCTTTAGATTAGCTATTAAATTCTTAGATGGTTGCCCACTCGCACACTAATAAGAAATTCTAAACTTATAAATCATTACTAATGTGTGCTGTAATCTCTATAGTACCCATCAATCTACCCTTCTAAAACATGGGGGCATAACTCCCTAATTTCTTGTTTAAACTCAAATCAGTTTTAAAAATCAGTTAGATAGCAAACATTCACGCCTCTTACGTTATAGAAGTCCAGTTCAAGAAAAATTTATGATCCTTCTTGTTATCGAGTGTGTTAGATTATGGTGTTGATCTTATATATCTTCTCATCATTTTTATGTGGTATAATATTTTCTTGTGATGTAGGTGGACATAGTGTTACGTGGATACTATGGTTGGAATTCACGACGTGCTGTTCAGGTTCTTGATCAAGTTTTTCCAAAGGTACACTTTTTTTAGCTGTCAATAAAATCTGCTTTGAAAACATTTGTTGTGACCTTATCTTCAAAGTGCCACATATGGAGTGCACAGCAGTGGTGTTGGTTATTTTTATTTTGCCACTGGAAAATGTCACAAATAATAGACCTTGAAATCTTGAAATGGGTTTAATTTAAGGTATTGGAATTTAAGCCTAATTAGTTCATGTAATGTAAGAATAGATTTTATTGGTATATTTTTTTTTTCTTTTTTTGTTATCATAATATACACCTCTGTGGAATTATTTGCAGACCATATACTTAGAATTTTACATATATAGCAGAAACTGCATATGGTTTGGTAAATGTTTTGAGAGCTACTATCTTTTCTCTAGCAAACTTGATAACTTGATTGTGCTCCTAAAATATGCTGCATATAATTTTTATTGAAATGGAGTATGATTTGCATCACCTTATTTAAGAATGCGTCATATATAGGTACAGCTTTCCTTGATATTTTCCCCTTAAACAGCTGGCTCTGATATGGTGTTGGGTTTCATTGATTGTAGGATGCAGCTACTCAGCCTTCTCTGGTGATCGTTTACTTTGGTGGTAATGATTCAATGGGGTCTCATTCATCTGGCCTGGGTCCTCATGTTCCGCTTCCTGAATATATTGAAAACATGAGAAAGATTGCACTTCATCTCAAGGTACCTGTTTTCATATACAATGTTTCCTTGTATTATATGGGTGGATAATATTGGTCCTGTTAGGTAAAATCGAAGGGGCCATTGCTTGATTCACATTCTAACCCTATGTATGAATATCAGAGCCTTTCAGACACAACACGTGTAATTTTTCTTAGCTGTCCACCTGTCAACGAGGCCAAACTTAAAGAAAACACGAGGTGCTTAAGTACATGTCTTGTTTATTGGTTCTCATTCTCATTTATGGATTATCTTACAATTCAGGTTTTATCTTTAAAAACAGTAAATATTTTAGTGAGCTAGTCCGAACAAATGAATTATGCCGAAGTTATTCAGAAGCCTGCATAGAGTTGTGCCGGGAGATGGGCATGAAGGTTGTTGATCTTTGGACTGCATTTCAGAGACGAGATGATTGGTTAACTGCTTGCTTCACGTAAGTTTGTTAAGCCTATTTTCTTTTCTTTAGTGTGAAGACCATCAAATTGACCATACTTATTGCAAGGAGATAGAAACTGCTTATTGAGGTTTTATAAGCACTGATCTATGAATCACACATATGGCGCAGCAACACACAGGTGGAGTTCAGTCAATAATGTCAATTTTTTTTGTAAAAGAGAAAATGTACTGCAACTTTTCACATATCATATCATCTCAGAGATGTAAGAGGAACACTTAAATTCTTGGAATAATTCTAATTGGAAATTTAAAAAATGAGTACTACGCCTGCATAACCAATCTACACTTTTGTAACACGGACATGACATAAAGGCTGAGATCTAACAAGACATTACTAGTTTTCTTGAGCTTTTTCCATCTGTAACAGATTAGATTGATCAGTTGATGTTGACCTATGCTATGCTCTATGTTATAGTTGATTTTGAAAATTTCTCTAAATAAAATGCTGATGAAGTATTTATAGTAGATATTATACAATCCAAAATAAACTATGCGGAAAGCTGTGCTCAAAGAAGCAATGCTTTGAAATGTTTGCAAATTGTAAGTAATTCCCTAGTTCAATGTTGTTGTGTTTTGTGAGCTGATCTTTTGAGAATAGATACTTCATCTGCATATGAGCCACAAAAGATTCTTTGTTGCTAACAGACCATCCATTAACCTGGATTATGCCTTAGGTCTGCAGTGTAACCAGTGTCTACTTCCATGGCTGATGCCTTTCACATGGTGATGGTATTTGTCAACATGTTTCATGTGGCGATGTTTTTTTCAATTATGCAATATATACATTTAGTCAGAATACCATTCTGTTTTTCACATTTAGATAAAAAAAAATAATAATAATAATAAATGGATGCATTTCTTCACATTACTGTTTTATGTTGTGGCACTGGTAACACTAAGATGCATTTCTTCAAATACACCACCAGTATTTATTGCTAATTCGTGCATTGAAACCTGAAAAAACAAGTTTCAGTTATGTGCTTGTTTGTTTGCTTTTTTTTTTTTTTTGGAGGGAGAGTTGTCTACACAAGTGTGCTCTGTTTTGGATCAAGCAGATTCATATGACATTTAGTGGTTTAAGAATCATACATAGATTAATCGTTTCCCTTATTAAAAAAAATACATTTGATATATTTCTAGGAAACCATATGCTTTGTTCTTTTCCAAACAAAGAGTTTGTTCTCCCACACCACCGGCTTGGATTAAATTGTCTCATATGGGGATTTTTTCCTGCCATGATAAACATCATTGGTACATGTCATCACCTGATTCATTGATTCTGATTTCTGTTCTAGTTGGGAAAGGAACCTTGTGTTAGATGTTAGTGTCAGCCATAGTAGTTCATCGTATTCTCTAACAAATATGCAATCTACTAGGCTCAAGTAGCGGCTGAATGTATGATAGGATTTTCCATCAGACCTCCACTAAGTTATTTGTTTTTAGATTGCTTTGATTGGTATAAGGCTACCGTTAGAAACAGTAACAGAAACACTGGTGAAAAAGAGGAGATCCACTTGGATAAAGGGTTTAAGAACACATCAAAGAGGATTGAAAGTAATACCAACAGTAAGAATGTTTTGAGAACCAATTGTGAGAAACTGTCACTCGCTTAGATTTCTTTCTCACCATCTTGTTCATGCAAGTGAAATTATGGCTCTTCATCCACTGTTCTTTTAGTCAGAATGATTTATTTGTTTATTATTGAAGAATGTTACTATTGAAGTTTATTGTAAATTTTGTATGCTTATTCAACTCTCTCTCCAGAGATGGGGTTCATTTAGCTGCTGGGGGAAGCAAAGTAGTTGTCGAGGAGATACTCAAGGTGCTCAAGGAAGCAGAGTGGGAACCCTGTCTACACTGGAAGTCCATGCCCACTGAATTTAGTGAGGATTCACCATTTGACCTAGTTGCTTATGACGGAAAAACAACTATTAATCCATCGGAATGGACCTATCACAGGGAAATTCAATGGGACTAGAGGCTGCAGAGAAATGTCTCCTGTGTGTGCTCCATTTCTTGTACAGAAGGCCCTTCATCAGAGGTTGAGGAATTCTAAAATGCATGGTAAATGCACGACGATGAAAAGATATATGTAATATAGGAAATAGAAGAAGTGACCTGAGAAATATTTGGTACAATTATTCTTGCGACTGAAAATCATCAATGAAGGGTGCCTTGGTATCTGGTAAGTTTATATTCATATCCTGTTGACATAATTTATATAAGTAGAAGATGATATTTTTTGCTCGATGAATTTCATCAGAGGTGGAACAAAAAAATGGATGAAATATAATATATAGCAATCCTCTATCTAGAGTTGTAAATGAGTCGACTCAAACAAAATAGTGAGTTATGCAAACTTGGTTTGAAAGCTTAAGAAGATTCAAAATGTATTTGAGTTTGGTTTATTTATCTTTTTAACCAACCTTTGTAGAGTTTAATTGAGCTTCCACGAATACATAAAATTAGGTAAACAAGATCACAATATATGATGTAATGGAATCGTACTAAAAAAATAACTTGGGTAGCTTTGGTTGAACTGAAGATCTATCCAAGTACAGAAAGATCGACCCAATCACAAGCTTTCTTGCCCTAGTCTTAACTTGAGCTTTCTTGTCCAAGCGTGAGCTCGAGTTTCTTTCAAAATTTTGCACTAGGCTCAAGTTATAGAAAATAAAATAAAAAAATACACTATTTTCTATTGACTTCTAAACTAATGATTTGCACCTGAAAAACACAAAAATAATCATAAAAAGTACTAAAATAAACATAATAAAAAGCAAAAAAAACATCCATTTGATATGTGTATCAAATAGTAAAATGTATGGAAAATTATTCCTAAGTGGGAACTTAAAAAAATTATTACATATGTATGAAAATTTTTAGAATTTTAACTATTAATAGGACAATTGGTTTATAAATTTAAATTTGAATTGTTTTGCCCAAAAACACGTTAATAGTCTAAGGATAGTTCTAATTCTTCTCTCTCTTCTGCCTTTTTTGCCCAAAAAGCCACACGTTAATAGTCTAAGGATAGTTCTAATTCTTCTCTCTCTTCTGCCTTTTTTTTTTTTTTCTATTTCTGATTCTCGGTTCTTTCTATCTCTCTCCTCTCGCTCTCTAGAAACCATGGTTAATGCAGTCCATTTATTTAGGGCTTCCTTGACATCCTGGTAAGCTACAAGCTCTCTTGCTTTTGATGTAGAAGCAATTGTATTGGCTACTGTACTGGTAACTGTAGGGGCTACTTCTTCTGAAGGTGCAGTACTCATGTAATTGTATGGTGACCATATATGTATAATTTAAAAAGAATATAACATAATACGAATAATAATAAACAAGGCTCTGATACCAACAATGGTGCTTGGCACACAGGTAAAAGCTAGCATGTCTGTCAACGACTTATAAAAAACACATCCTAACCGCATACCCTGCTAACGGATAAACCTCTACGTGACTTGGGTGATGTCTCACTAACCCTGACACTGTTCTACCCATCATTAAGCACAAACCCAGGGATATTACTATTCATATTATTGTTATATTAAATCTAAATTATGCCATATGTGGTCTCATGATCTACTGTAGAGAGGGTGGGGGCCTCACACAGCCCGCCCAAGCAACAATTTGTTCTTGTATTTGGGATTGAACTCTTCCAATTTGTTGATTACAGTATTCTAATTGTTCAATACCCCAATAATCATTAGGAAATATAGTAAGAAATTGTAAATACTGATTACGTCTATTAATATGGAAATCTAAAACATTTAATAGAATAACAATAAAATCAACAGAGGGCATACATTAAAAGAAATGCTTACAATCAGAACTTCGATCTTTAATTTCACACTTAAGAGAGAGAGAGAGAGAGTACACACTTATACTAAAATTCAAATTACACTCTAAAAACTTATGCCTTCAACAAGGGTAAGGCCTCCCTTAAATAGATAAATAAAGATAATAAGATAAGGATGAGGATGATAGGTGGCGTGTCCTAGATGGTTGGAGTCGATCGTCCATATCCTCTCCTGATTACTACAGAGTCAGCTCCTTATCTATAAGTGTAGGTAGGGGACAACTGTATGGATAGCTGTGAAAGCATCTTTCATTTCGCCGAAAGGGGATGTACTGAATTTGGCTTTTTCTGCCGATGCTGCATAATTAAAGCTGTAGTGGAGAACAAAGAATCATTATTCTTCTTTTCCTTTTCCTTTTCTGTCTTTGTCCTGACTGATCTTTTCTGAAATAAAACTAGTCAATGAATCCCAAAAATCACCCATGTTTGGCTCATTATCGATTGGATCTTGGGATTCTTCTGCTAATATTGTAAATTCATTTTCATCCAAAAGAGGATCAAAATGTTCTTCTTCTAGACCTCCATGGCTACTGGAACCAGACTTCATGCTGGTATCATCTCTGGAAAGTGATTGCAAGAATTGTTCTTTCATAAAATCCATACTTTTAACAATTAATTCTTCCTCAAATAATCCTGAAATTTTTTGCCTTAATTCATTTTGAATTTGGACAAAAGGATTTTGGATTGGAGTTACTGGGAGTAATTTTGGAGTGGCATCCCAGCAGGCCTGTGTATGAGCCTTGATTTTCTGTAAAATTTCCTGTTGCTGTTTAGGGGTGTCAAGCCCCTTAGTCCACCATTTGGGAAAGAAAACTCTTTTCAAACGAGGAATTTTATTCTGGAAATCGCACTGGAAATCCCATTTCCAAATCCATGGAATTCCAAAGCGGATAACAAAATGGACTGTAGATTTGGACATGGAAATGTCCTTATAGACTGGAAGATGACTGTAAACAATTTGCCATTCATTAAATGCATGGTGAATTGATTCTGAAAAAGCATCTAACTATAAACCAAACTTTTATCCCACCAAACGAGAAACCAATTGGAGAGATCGTTTTTAAGAGTATCTGGAAGAACACGAAAAAACCAAGAGTGGCTTCGAGGGGAATTCTGATAATAAAATGCTTGGGTAAAAGCATCAATATAATCCCAATAACTATAACGAGATTCCTTATTGCGAATCTCAAGAGTTCTGGTAACATGAGGATGCATACCCCAAGCCTGCATAGGCATGATTTTCTGCATGGTAGCTTTACTGTAATTGATCGGGCTAGCAGTACAATTGGGATCATCCAACGTATGCTTAAACTCAATGGAAGCAGTTTCTGAAAGGATTTGTTCATAGATGTATCTGTATTAATCAAAATGAGGTAGAGAATGTTGTGTGGTAAGATACCGCCGTTTGATCTCCTATCATCCATCCATTGGATATCTTATGTATTAATGTAGAGGATTGTTTCCTCAATAATGGAATTTATGTAAATAAGGTTTTGGAGGTGTCAGGAGGACATCCTTAGCCATTTGGCTAGATTTTCCTTTTTTACTGGAAAGAGCATTAAGCCCTGGGAATTTTGTATGGTAGGGATTGCCCCTTCCACAGCCCTTTCGGCCTGGGCCTCGGCCTCTACTAGACATGGTTTGGACCCTGCAAATATTCACAGGTTAGAAAATCAGGAAGAGAATTATTTTCACCTTTGATATAGGCAATGTCAAAATGAAAAACTGAAAGTTGGCCTTGCCAAGCTGCAAAAATTTGTTTTTGAGCTAAATTCTGGACATCTTTTTTGAAAATCTGTTTTGCTGCAGACCAATCAACTCTGATTAAAAAATGTTGACTTAATAAGTCATCTTGAAATTTTAAGACACATTTAACAATGGCTAAACATTCTTGTTTTATTGTCAGCTAATTTTTTGCTGCTTTATTCCATATGCCTGAAGTAAAGCGTAGCAATTCTTGTTTTTGGCTATTTGGATTAAATTGTTTTGAGATGCCACCATAACCTAAATTAGAAGCATCAGTTTCAACATTTTTCTTCCATGTGGGATGAGGTAGAGAAAGACATGGAAGAGTCTTAACTCTAGCCTTTATTTTCTAAACAAATTCTTTATGTTCTGGTCCCCAAGGGGGAGGATTTTTGTGAAGTCATTGGTATAGGACAACAACATCTGTAGCTAAGTTAGGATAATAATCATGAATATAATTCAGGCTTCCTAAAAATATCTGTAATTGAGTTTTATCTTTTATTTCATTCGGAAATTTAGATGCAAATTCCATGCTTCTGTCAATTGGAATTATAGTGCCATTATGAATATTATGGCCCAAAAATTTAATTGTAGTTTGAAAAAGTTTCATTTTTGGTGCAGAAATCACCAAACCATTTCTGATAATAACATTCTTAAAAATATTAAGATGTTTAATATGCTAGTCAATGGATGATGAAAAGATAAGAACATCATCAATATAACAAATAGCAAATTCTGTATAAGGATTGAAAATATCAATCATGATATGCTGGAATTCAGATGGAGCATTTTTTAATCCAAATGGCATGATATTCCATTCGAAATGTCCAAAAGGTACTGTAAAAGCAGTTTTATACCTGTCTTTCTCGGCAATTTGTACCTGCCAATATCCTAATATCATATCAAATTTAGAAAAAATGATAGCATCCTGTAAACGATCTAAAAGATCTTTTTTATTTGGAACTGGATTCCTTATCCATTGTAAGGCTTCATTAAGAGGTTTATAATTGATTACCAATCTTGGCACACCTCTTTCAATTTCTGCATTTTTGTTGACATAGAATGCTGTACAACTCCATGGGGAATGGCTGGATTTGATCAATTTTTTCTGGAGTAGAGTACTTATTTCTGTTTTACAGAATTCTAAATAATCTTTTTTCATTTGACTGGTATGAGCTCTGGTTGGAATTGTGTGCTCATCAAGTCCTGGTTTATATGGAAGAGAAACTATGTGTTTCTTTCTTTCCCAAAAAATATTTGGCACATCACTGCAAACTTCTGTTTGAAACTCTTTTTCAAGAGATTTGATTTTATTCTGTAGAGAAGATTGCTGCAATCTTTGTTCAGTAGTAAGAAAAGAAATTTGTTTTTGTAAAAAATTAATTTGCTTTTCTCCAAAATTAACTAGATCTTTAATGTGATCTAATTCTTTGGTATATGGTTCTGTAATGAATTCAAAAATAATCTGTTGATTATTTAAGGTTGTATGAATGCCAATAGAATCAATTTTAATACTGGGCATGAGTAAACACAGGAATGGCATCCCCAAGATAATTACTTGTGACATATTTTTGATTAGAACAAAAGATGTTGGAAGACATAACCCTCGGTTACATATAAAAACTTTTGGAAGTTTGTACCTAAT